TCTAGTAGCTATTCCCTGCATGCTGCCTTGGTGAGAGTTCAGCCTTAGGGTAGAGAGATAATGCTCCTCCTGCCTACAAACATTAGACTGGAGAAGAAAGGAGATGAGATGCACCCAGGGCTTCCTGATCATGCTCTTCCTGATCATGTGAAGAAACCTACTTACAATTTAGAATCTTCTCCTTCAAAAGAAAGCTCTACTTTACTTAACACAAACTCTTATCACATAGTCTATAGGCCACAGGGTTCCAAATGCTTAACAAATAGGAATCCACTAGATGACGTCCTGAAAATACAGGAGGTATTAGGAACTACAGTAAGCAGGTGAAGCAACCGAAGGTCAGAGAAGGGCTAAGTAACTCTCCTAAGACCAAACAGCTATGTTGTATTCGAGCTAAATACAAAGATAGGCAGTTTTGCTTCGGTATCATTTCTCACTGTGAGAAAATTAATTTCTGCTCATTATAAATTGCCCAGGCTCATGTATTCTGTAATAGCAGCATAAAATTGACTAAGACTGGAAGAATGCATACCCAGTACTCACCACGCCTTCACTAATGTCAGAATCATGAATTTACATGATGTGTCGATATATCACACTATTTCTATAGCTCTTTTGCATTAGAGTATGGAAATACAAGATGAATGACATACATCTATATGAGATATGTATGCTGTTTAGGAATATGTTTACATATTACAGTTTACAGTACCTGTTTATGTTACCTGTTTCCAGTACCAGTCACAACTGTGATGGGGGCCACTTAGAGTTTCTGAAGACTAAACCAGTGGGATGCACTTGTCAGATGCCTAGATGCTTGGAGCAGAGATAGCCTACTTGGAACATAAAAGAAGCTTGTAGGAATTAATTACATGCTAATGATATTGAATTAGAAAGAAGAAAAGGACCAGGTTAGGTGATAATTGTTAAACTTCCACCTTGTACGTCTTTTAACATGAAAGAAATAAATAGATTTCAGTTTTATTTATAGCCATTTGACTTTTTAATTTTGTAATATTTATACCTGAACCATATTCCAGTCTGAACCAGATGGACTCTGGTTAAAAAGATTCCATCTGCAAGGCTCTGTCTGTAGGAGTCTGTTCAGCGAGAGGTCATTAGTGAGATTTCTTTAAGTCCCGAGTAGTCAAAAATTGCCTTCACTACCACCAGCTTTTGGATAGATTTTTTTAAAAATAAGAAAATACTGTGCATATCATGATACATTTTGAAACCTTAAAAGAGTACATAATTTTCTAGAAAAGTTTATCAAACTCACTCTAAAAAATCATGTTTGAATAGACTTATGACATTATGCAAACTAAGATTTAAGTTACAAAACAGAAAACAGTATTTAAGCTATAAAAACCAATCAAACTAAACATCTATGTTCATAGCATTTTAAAGGGTTGGGGTTCTGAGGGATCTCACAAGCGTTCAAGGAACAGATAATTCCAATCTTAAGCAAAGGATCAGGAGAGAGCCTGTGAAAGGGAAAAGTTCTGCAGTTCCCTTCATGAATATAGTATAAATTTAATCCCAGCTCCAGATAACATACAGAGAAAAAGAACTAGAGGTCCACATCAATCCCAAATTTAGATAGTACATTAGAAATTTAAACCCTGCCTAAGAACAGTCTGACAGACTCTGAGTGTTCAGGATAGAGGTCATACATTTTTAGCATAGTCTGGGAAGTGACATCCTCACCTTTGCCATATTCTACTTGTCCGTATTTAGTCACCAGGCCCAGTCTTCACAGGAAGGGAGAGAAATACAGAAGGATTTGATTACCAGAGAGTGGGAGTCATGGTGTGTCAGGCAGCCAAACATCCATTTAGATTATTTTCCATTTTTGTCCTTCATGAATAATCCTGCTATGAAATTTGTATACAAATTTTTTTGTGTGGATATAGTTTTCATTTCTGGTGGGTGGATCCCTAGGAATAGACTTGCTTTCTGTGACTTCATGTTCAGTATTTTAAGGAACTTCTAAGCTATTTTCCAAAACAGCTGCACTGTTTAACACTTCTCACCAGCAGTGAAACAGGATCAGCCTATAGACAGCCTATAGAGTGGAAAACAATATTTACAAAATATGTATACAACAAAGAAACAACATCCAAAACCACAAAAAAATCAAACAACTCAATAAGAAATAAACAATTAACTATTAAATATGGCAAAAGACATGAACATACATACTGAAAAAAATATATACAAATGGCCAACAAATAAATTTAAAAAGTTCAACATCACTAATCAAGAGAGAACAGCAGGCTAAAACCACAAAGAGATAGCATTTTACATTACTCAAAATGGCCATTAATAAAACTAAAAAATGCAATATATGTTGACAAGTATGTGGAAAAAAGCGAATGCTTATGGGATACTTGTGGGAAGGCAAATAAGAACAACTGCTATGAAAAAGAGTATGGGTATTTCTCAAAGAATTAAAAATAGAATCACCTTTTGATCAAACAATTTCACTACTGGGTATCTACCCAAAGCAAAAATAATCATTCTATCAAAAAGATGTTTATCATAGCACCATTCTTAATAGCAAAACTATGGAATCATCCTAAGTGTCCATCAACTGCTTACCAGATATAGAAAATGTGGTATATGGATGTGTCCTGGGATACTATTCAGCTATACAAAAGAATGGAATCATGCAATCCACACCAAGCTGGATGGAACTGGAAGCATTGTCTTAAGTGGATGTAGATGAGTATCTGTGGATGTAGAGAGTGGAATAATAGACTTTTTTTTTTTTTTTTTTGTATGGCTTCCCTTTATTTATTTCTGGCCTTGGGAAAAAAAACATGGAGAACCCAAAAATTACAAACAAACAAACAAACAAAAAAAACACGGAGAACCTATGCTTATTTGATATATGCAGTTTTGGTTGTTACGGCTTAACTTATAAGGTCAAAGGAATTAAAGAGTTTTCATTAAGAACACATTTTAAAATATGACAAAAATAAAGTCTTCACAGTGAGTTTTCATTAAGAACACATTTTAAAATATGACAAAAATAAAGTCTTCACAGTCCTTAGGAAAATGGTAAAATGAATCAAATTTCATGATTGCAAGAGGACTCCCTTCCAAGTACATGCAAAATACATAAAGCTGCTTTCCAAGAGGTTATAAAAGTGCAAAATATAAAACAATGGTTCATTTCAAGATCACTAGGAGACTAGGAAGGGTGGAAGAGTGAGAAAGTGGGAGACAAGCGTGGGATGAGAAATTACCTACTGGGTACTACTAATCAGACAAGGGTTAAATAATTACACAAAAAGCTAAGACTTCTCCACTATGTAATTTATCTGTGTTACAAATCTGCACCTGCACTCTCTAAATATATTTAAAAAGAAGAAAAAAATATAAATGACAGAAATTAATACTGGACTCTAAATTCTATACCACTGAAATCTGTGCTTATTATTATACCAGTTTCACACAATCTGACTACACTACTTTGTAGTGAATTTTGAAATATGGAAGGTTAAGTTATCCAACATTTTTTTTTCTTTATTCAATTGCTTTGGCTGCTTTGAATTTCCATATGAATATTACAATCAGCCTGTCAATTTCTGCAAAAAATACAGCTGGGTCTCTGAAGGGAATTTTGATAAATCTATAGAACAACTTAAGGAGTATTTCCATTTTAATATTATGTCTTAAGATCCACTGAGAAGAGTTATCATTTCATTTATTTAGAGATTCTGGGACTTTATTAAACAATAGTTTGTTATTTTTAGTGTATAAAACTTGCAGTGTTTTAGAAATGAATTTCTAAACATTTCATTCTTTTGATGTTAATGCAAAGAAATTGTTTCCTGACGTCATTTTAAATTATTCATTGCTAGCATATGGTTTATTTTAGTGAAAGTGTCTTGTGTGTTTGAGAAGTAAGTGTAGTTTTTGACTCTTGGGTAAAACATTTTGTAGACATGTGTATGGGCAAGTTGGTTTAAAACCTTTCAGTGCTCTCCTTCCTTGCTCACTATTCAAAGTGGTGAATTGATGTGTATTCTAATCGGATTACATATTTCTCCCTTTAGTTCTATCAGTTTTTGCTTCATGTATTTTGGGACATATGTTTGTAAGACCAACCCACTTTATTACTATAAGATATCCCTTTTCCTCTCTTGAGTTTTGATTTAAACTCAAATATGTCTGATATTAGTACAGAAACAAGCATTCTTATTGCTTCTGTTTGCCTGATGTCTATTCTCATCCTCTTACTTTCAAGCTATTAGTCTTTGACTCTATCTAATCCATGTCTTCTATACATAGAGTGTATTTGGATCTTATTGTTTTGCTGTGGTTACTTAATTTGTGCCTTTCTATTGGATCATTTTTTCAAATCACAATAATTAGTCTTGTTAACGCTGTTGATGTTATGGGCTGAACTGTATCTCTCCAAAATTAATTTGCAGAAGTCCTAACACCCAGCACTTCAGAATTGTTTGCATCACTTTTTGTTTATTTATTCACTGAATGAGTGCCACTTAACAATTTTTGCTAGTCTCTGAGCCTCTAGCCATTCCCCTACCAATGAATTCAGGAATCTAGACCTGACTAATTCTCCTTAAATTTTCATGTTAGGCATGAGCGAAAATTGCATAATTGTTGAACAAATGGCCTCTTCAGTCCATAAGTATATAAGTCTCTCCAGAGTTTCAAATACCCCAGCAATTTGTGGATCCACAATTTGATTATGTGTAACACTCACACTGAATCTATGCTGACATGTGGGTTGTGGGTGATATCTGCATCTTCTTAACCTTTTCATAAGCAAGTCCACCACACGTTCGTGAGTCAAACAGGCATGATATGTGGATGGAATTATAAAAGCTGGCTGTGCAAGCTCTAGAGTTTACATCACTTCCACCCAACCACCTAGGCATTCACTATGAAAAGAGCAAATTCAAGACAACACGTTGGGGGTAAATATGTTTATTTTAATAGTTTATGGTTCCAAAGATTTGGGTGGATGAAAATACTGAAGGTTAGCAATATAAATGAAGCAAGAAACAAAACATTCAAGTTGACTTGGAGAGATAGTTCGGTTGAATTTTTCATTCCATAGTAACAAATTCTAGACGCATAATTTCCGGATCCTTCTAGTTTTTGAACTTGCAGACAAAGGAGAACTTGGCATCACAATCCTCATCTTTCCATTTCTTGTATCCTAAAAGCCAAGGAAGAGAGTCATATGGAGAGGACCAGAAAGGTTGTGGTCCTCTTGGCTCTGGGATACAGGACAAGAAACGAGAGGAAACTCTCCCTCATTCCCTAAATGGGGAGCTCACTTTTCCGCTATTCCCATCCCCATGTCCATCCCCAGAGCTAAGTAGGAGAGGATGGCAACAAGTAGGTGGGTAATCTGTCCCTCACCTGAGCTTGACGTCAGGCTGGCACAGTAGCCAGGATTGTCGCTATTCGGAGCTCCTGTGTCCCAGGATTTGTAGGAGACCAGGGATCCGCTGCTCCAGTGCCAACGGCGGTTCTAGATGAGGAAGGACCAGAACAAAGGCAATAGTCACTCAAAAAGAGATAGAAGCTTCAGGCCTGGTTGCACAGGCAGGAATAGGCCAAGGTATAAGACAAGAATAAACCTTCTGGTCTCCCTTCTCCCCACCCCCGACATTGTATCATTTTCTCTGATTTTCCTCTAAGCTTCTCTTTTTTTCCTGGAATGTCTAATTCTCTCCCTCTATTTTAACAATAACAAATAAATATTCTACATTTGATCCATAGATGCCCACTATAAAAAGTACTTCTTGATTTTTTCTTCTGTGAGGTGCACACCCCTTCCAACTCAGCATAGCACTGGCTGTACATTAGTTGTCCATATTATTTAGCATAGTAAGTTCCTGAAGTAGATCTTCTCCACTAGTCTCTTATTCTACAGTCTCTAAAGGGCTCTCTGACAAGAAGGACAATGCAAAATAGGTAATAGGTAGTACACAAAGATGTTTCTCTAGAATTAGACAAAAAAACTTTACCCATGAACGTCTGGAATATCTGGGAATTTTCTGGATATTCTTATCTCTAACCACATTG